GCTTCAAAATTTTTAGGATATTGTGTAGGTAAAATTAGCCAAAGAACAATTGTAGGAATCTTGGTTATAGACTTTAGACCTCTGAAATTTTCTTATGTCACGTTTGGTTTGAGTGAAATTTTTTTCAAAATATTTTTTGGAAGATATTTTCATATGAAAAAATTTCCTCATAGTTAGGTATGAGATTACTTCACACCAATTATCCCCCAATTGATATGAAAAGATGCATTAGGATCAATTAGTGTGAAAATATCCTCACACTTAATTATATAAAGGAATTTTTTCGTGTGAAAATTGAAAAAAAAAAATTTCACATCATGCGAATCAAACATGCCCTTAAGATTTGGTCAAATTGTCGTGAACTATAATTTTGTTGTCTTTAATTCCCAAATTGAAGGTAGAAGGCGAGATTGACAAACGAGTACGTATCGACTGTGCACTAACTCCCTCTGCCCATAGAATATCTCGGGAACTTTTTCATTTTAGAGTTTCAAACTTCAATCAAAGTTGTCAAGATCAGACAAAATATGTAGTTTTATCAAGATCGGATGGAATCAGTGATCTGATCGGTCAAACCGCTGACTAATGTTTTGGTTCATTTGATCCAAAGTAAAAATCAAATCTGATGAAAAACCGGTCAAGCCAAATATTTGATCGGTTTTGACCAATCAGACTAATCAATTTTGATAGGTCGAACAAACTAGTTTTGACCTGTTTGACAAGCAAAATGAACTTGGACAAATTTTTCAAATATATTACATCAATTTTACTTTTTTTTTTCTAAAATCTGGTCCACCTATTCGACCAGTGGTCAGACTAATTTTGACTAAATCAAACGCCTCACTTGGTCATTGACCTGTCGATCTCGATACCTTTGGTTTTAGTTTATCAAAACTTTTTCTTACCCTCCAAAATTACGAAGTCATCTTTAATCCTGAAACCTCCTAATGTACATCGTGTGCATTACAAATTCAGCTTTTTTGAGGTTGATCACTAGGTTCTAGAAGTTACATCCCTTAGATTTTTTGATTCCCAAATACTCCGAGCATAAGTTTTACCAGAGAGAGTATTGCTCCCACATGGATGGTTGGATAAGAGGAAGTATATAAGTTTTATATTGTAAGAGAAACATAGAAAGCTTGCCCCCAAAAAAAATATTTCAATTGACTTAATTTCTCAAAAATTATTTGATATTAATTTCAGCATAAATATTTCATGTGGTGTTTCCAAGCATTAAAAAAAGAAATGTGTAAAAGTTGCTAATGTCATTGCTTATCTAATACTGTATGCTTTCTCTCTCTAGACTCCACATTCCAACCTGTTTATTCCCCCATGGACATAATATATATTAAATACTTTCCATATCATCAAATAGCAGCCCTCCTATCCTTATCCAATGACCTCATCTCTTAAAACCATTGCTTTCAACGCCCCCAAATTAGATACAGAGAAATAATAAATGGATCTTTGAAATTTCTCTCTCTAAAATAATAGATGGGTCTTTGAAATTTTTAATCTCTCTCACATATCGACTGCTTTGAACGCTCCCAAATTTGATATGGAGCCGAGGTTTTAAACAATCAAATTGGAATCCATATAAAAAATTTCATTAGAAGAGGTTGTTTTGATGTCCAAATATCCTCAAATTGATCATCTCGACATTAAGATGCATGAACATGAGAAAAAATTAGATTTCAAGTTTTAAAAATAGTGCATCTTGTAATGTATTTTGGACCTTCAATTTTTTAAGGTTTTCAAATTTTCATAGATCTACTCCATCTACATTATTTTTAAAACTTTAAATTTTATACATAAAGATAAAAATATATTTTAAGACTATAAAAAAGAATTCAATATTAAAACTATATTTCTCGAAACTATTTAAAAGTGTATTTTACTTTGATTGTTTAAAGTCAAAGCCAAACGCACCCAAATTTTAATCTCTATTTAAGGACAATATGGATTTGAACTGTTACTCTCTCTTTTGAACTATTCCCCAATGCTTTCAACGCACTCAAATCATTATTGGAAACTCGTAAATGTCTGACTGTATCAAAGTCGCCTGCTTTTTTCTCTCTCTCCTCTTTCTCTCTCTTCTCTCAATTTTTGAATCTGTCTCTTTCTTCTCTCTCTGGCACACATACACATCAGCCAACATGAAACTTGTTTTTATGTTAGGAAAACAATTATTTTAAGCATCAATTATTAAAGCATGTCATACCTTACAAATCTATTAAGAGCGGTTATTTCGGGTGCTAGAAAACTTTTCAATTAATTATATTAACTTTGAGATGTGTCTATATATATATATATATAAGATTTATAGATTTACAATAGTACATCTTGTAAATACATTAGTAGGATACCGTTTATTTTTAAAAATTTTAAGTATTTACAAATCTGTATTATTTTTAAAAATTTAAAATTTTAAGATTGATAGTGAAAATAGATTCTCAACTCACACCAAAGATTTCCAACACCATGACTAAAATAAATTGTACCTTGCTTAATTGGTATTGTGCAAACCACGCCCTTATATAGCAGGTTTACTTCCATGAAGAAAGTTTTTATATAGGGCTGCAGCCTCATGAAAAAAAAGTAGGTTTGCACGTGCAAAGTTATCCGAAAACTATTATTTTAGATTAAAAAAATCCTCAAAAAATTGTCCATCTTTCCGGAAGAAGCCAAAAGATATTCTACTACACGAGTAAATGTCAATTTACTCCTTCGGGTAACCTAATTAGAATTTTTTAGTACCCTAATTTTTGGGATGTAACATCTTCAACCTACTTATTAACTTTAGTAAATAAATAAATTCTAATTTACTTTTTATGCACTTGAAAAATATAATGTCTCGAAATTGAATAAAGACCATCTAAGTTTTAGATGGTGAGATCTAAGCTCATAAAGAATGCAAATTTCAAAGTATTTTTTTAAAATAATTATTTAGTAATTATTAAGACGTTTTCGAAAAATCAAATAGAAAAAAATCCTGTCAAGTAGGTCTTCCAAAAAAAAGTCCAAGCAAATTATGCTCCTGAAGGAGCAGTATAAGCTCAATTTGCTTTTCTAAATCAAACCCTCTTTTCTCTCTCTCTTAGTTATTCTAATCATTAAACATAAACCCTTCTCTCTCTCTCTCTCTTTGTGCTACCCCTTTCTCTCTCTTTCTACCTGAACTTTTTCTCTCTTTCTCTCTCTAAAACATGAAAAAGTATATTATATGAAATCCAATTCAATCATAGAAATGATGAACCTTGGACTGTGTCTCATAGAGCTCAGAAGATACTTTTAGTTTGCTTTTGCTATGGTCGGGTAAGCTAGGATTAGAGGTAGGCTCTAAAACGGAATTTATTCTTAAATATTTGTTTCCAACCAGGGCTTGTTCAACTTGCAAATAGCAAGAAATATTCCTAACTTCGAAAGGCAACCAAGGCTTTTATTATTATTATTACCAATATGTGAGGATCAACATTTACGGCAATTTTTTTGCTTTTTTTATTTGATAAGTATTTTTAGGCTACAGCCCTATCAAAATAAGTAAAGCCTCAAATTCGTCGAAAATTGTAGTTCTTTGTCAAAAAACCTTTAGATCAATCATCTCGGCTTTGGACATTATGGTTGAGAAAAAAATTTAGAATTTCAAGCCCTAAAACAAGTGTATATGGTAAAACATTGTCTAAACCATCCATTTCACCCTAAAAATAAGTGTTCAAAGATCCACAAGTGCTGTATGGTTTTTTACCTTCAAATTTCATAGTTCGTATTGGAAATTGATTTTAAAACTATCATGGAGATTTTCGATGCCCAAAGTGCCCTTCCGATGAGAATTTGAGGTGAGGCTTTCGTAAGGCCTATGCCTTATAGAAACTGCATCTTTATTTTATTGTTCAAATTTTAGAGTAGGAATTATATTTTAATTTTATTGTTTTTTCTATATTTCGGATCAAACTCAAAATTTACTTGTCTATACTTCTAATCATTATGCCCTTGTAAAAAATATAAACATGATAGATTTAAATGCAGTAAAATGACCAAAATACACGTAAAATTTGCACATATATTATAATCATTTTATTTTATTTAATTATTTTTCATATTTCTTCTAGATATGTGATGGTAAGAAATATGAATTCACAAAAATTCAGCTCCAATCTTATGTACTAAAAAAAAGATAAAATTAAAATAGATATTTTTAATGCATTTTGATAAATTTATAAAAAAAGCAATTTGAGAAAAGTATGGATAAAAAAATTAATATATAGCCGAGGTTCTAAACAATCAAATTAAATCCCATATCAAAAAAATTATTAGAAGATGTTGTTTTGATACTCAAAAATCTTCAAATTAACTATCTCGACATCCAAACATATGGACATGAGAAAAAAAATAGATTTAAAGGTATAGAAGGAGCATATCTCGTAACACATTTTACACATTTTAAACAGTTAATTTTCAAAATTTTCAATTTTTATAAATATATTTAAAAATTATTTCCAGTATCGAAACCACGTTTTAAACCAGTATTTGAAGGTGCTCAAACCGCACTTTTCCTGAAAAGGGCAATTTGAGAAAGTAAGGATAAAGAGATAAAGTCGCCACGTTGTAGAGAGGGAGGCCACGATGGAGCTAAATCGTTAGAGAGGGAGACACCATTCAACTTAAGCTTTAAATTGAAGGGAGGGAAACGGCATGCTGACGTTAGAGAGAGAGGCGCCATTGAAGCTAAAGATTAAAATTGAAGAGAGAGAATCGGCATGCTGACGTTAGAGAGAGAGGCGCCATTGAAGCTAAAGATTAAAATTGAAGAGAGAGAAACGGCATGCTGACGTTAGAGAGAGAGGCGCCATTGAAGCTAAAGATTAAAATTGAAGAGAGAGAAACGGCATGCCTAGATTAGAGAGAGAGAGGCGCCATTGAAGCTAAAGCTTAAAATTGAAGAGAGAGAAACGGCATGCTGAGGATAGAGAGAGGGAGGGAGACGCCATGCTGAAGTTTAAGAGAGTGAAACCGAAGGCTGAAAGTTAGAAAAATGGCATGCTGAAGTTAGAGAGATTAAGGAATTGTAGAGAGAGAAAATCAAATTACTGAAAGATACAAAAAGTAAGCACTAAGAAAGCAAGCTTTTGAAAGGAAAGATTAGATGCCCTTATAATAAACCCACGACACAAATGCCAGTATCAGCAACGAGACCTCCAAAGCCTGGCCTTGTCGTCCACTGGCGTGTCTGAGAGAGAGAAAGAGAGGAATTTTGTCTTAGAGAGAGAGGAATTTTGCAGTAGTGAGAGAAGGAAGTTAGAGAGAGAGAGGGAATTTGAAGAAACCTCAAAAGCAAAGGAAAAGGCTGAGGCCCCAAAGTCATCCCTTGCTTTTCTTAGGTGGGCTTGGCTTTTCAATTGGAAGCAACCCATCCTCCCCATATATTCACTTTGTCTCTCTAACCCGGCAACTTAATTTGGAGACGGTTTCTCTCTCTAGAACCTAAGAGATGCAGAAACAGCAATCCAAATCATCTTTCAAGGAATCCCTCAAAGCCCTTGAAGCAGATATACACCATGCCAATACCCTGTAAGTCAAACTCTGTCTCTTCTCTGTCTCTGTGTCTTGCTCTGTCTCTCTCTGTCTCTGTCTCTCTCTAGAGGGATTTTTGTTGAATTGGGAAGTTGGGTTTTTGAACTTTGAGCTTTTTTTGCAAGTTTCATTGTTCTTATGGCAAAGTTTTGATTACAGAGCAGCTTCCATTCCGAGAGCAAAGGATGGGGCTCAGCTTCAGATGAGATTGTCTTATAGTCCATTTGCCCCTCTCTTTCTCTTCTTTGTACAGTGGATGGACTGTAGTCTTGTCAGCTCCCTGGGTCTTCTTCATATTCTCATATATAAGGTAAGCTCTCTCTCTCTCTTCTGTGTTTGCTATTTCTCTCTTCTTCTCTAAACAGTAATGGAAAAATCGCAGCTTTTGTTTTGTGAAAGGTAATCATATTCGCAGCTTTTGCTTTGTGAAAGGAAAAATCGTTGCTTCTCTCTCACTCTAGTCTCTCTATCTCTCTCTAGCAGTAATGGGCAAGGTTGCAGGTTTTGCTCTGTGAATCGGTAAAGATGTGTGTGTGGCTGAAAGATAATAGATAAAATTGTAGCTCCCTCTCTCCCCTAGCTCTAGGCACAGTTCTCTCTGTCCCCCTCTCTGTCTCTAGGCACAGTTCTCTCTCTCTCTCTCTCTGTGTTTTTATGACAGTTTTTCTGTCTTTCTCTAGATATGCAATTACCAATTAGGTCTATTTCTCTCTTTACTCAACGGAACAATGGAATCTCTCTCTCTCTCTCACAGAGAAGTGATTTTCCATTTGCAGGTATACTTGGATGGAAACACTACGATGTCTTTACATGAAAGGAGAGCCAATCTTCGAGAGTTCTATGGTGGGGTTCCATTTCTTGACTTTCTTCTTCACATTTATCCTCCTTTCCTTTCAAATTCTATACATCCTTAAGCTGCACTATTCTTGATTGAATTGGCTTTCTTTGATTTATCAAGGTAGCGAGAAAATACAGAAATTAAAATAGGCTTTCTTTCTTTTTTTTTTTCTTTTTTTTTTTTTCACAGCCATTATATATCCATCTCTGCAACAGCTAGAAGGAGGTTTAACAGAGCTGGAAGACAGCAAACAGAGAGCACAGTGTATAGAGAGGTTCACGAGGAAGAGGGCGGAAGAGAAACGGAAGCTTTCCGACTTGGATTTAGAGAGAGAAGATGAATGTGGGATTTGTATGGAAACATGCAACAAGATAGTGTTGCCAAATTGTGGCCACTCGATGTGCATCAACTGTTACCATGACTGGTAACTCATCTCTCTCTCTTTCTCTATTAAATCTTCTTCTGTTCACTGGTCTTTTCTCATCTTTGGTCGGGCTTTATGAAAACTTACCATGAGGACAAATCTCTCTCTCTCACACACACACATAAATCTTCCATAGTCGTTGGGTCTCTCTTCCTTGTTCATGCTTTATAAAGAATGACTGATCTCTCTATCACTCTCACCCCTTTCTCTCTCTACAGGAACATACGGTCACAGTCATGCCCCTTTTGTCGAGATAGCTTGAGGAGAGTCAATTCACGAGACCTCTGGGTTCTAATGAGTAATGGAGATGTAATTGATACTGCGACTCTATCCAAGGAGAATGTGAGGCGTTTCTATGTGTATGTTGAGAACCTGCCTCTTATTGTTCCTGAGAACCTATTCTTCACTTATGACTACTCAGTCTAATTGAATTGTGTATAGATTTTGAATTTTCTAGATAGATGATGGCAAATAGGAAAAAGGCCAACCACCCCTGTAAATAGAGTCTGGTAATGAGAAGAGATAATGTGTCTCTCCACCAGAAGCTCTATGCTTGTTCCTGCAACAAAGAAACTGTTGTTGGAGGTTGCATTGAATGTTTATGTAAAATTGTGTTTATAATTTAATGAAAATGCAATGTCCCTTCCTCTCTCTTCAATATTTCCATGGTACGGATTGACTGAGAAAAGCTTTTTTCTCTATATTCTAGTTCCCACGGTTAGCAAGAAATGTAGAAGTCTGCTTGAATGTTATAAAATTTGTTGTTGCGCTGGAGAAATGAAATGCTAATAAATTGCATTAACATCCAAAAGCCTTTACCTTTAAAAAAAAAAGTGAAAAAACATTTGAAAGCGTTTATTCAAAGATGTTTTATTCTAAATACGTTAGATATTTTGTTGTTCTAGTGTCATTGAGATGTTGTGCTCATCTGATGGAAATACTTTTAGGTGATTGGTTCGTAATTTCAGGAGCAATGAATTTCATGTTGTTACTCTTTATGAACTAAATCTCTTCATCCGACATTCCATCCTACTCTGAAAATTGAATTGCTAAAGATGTACAGGAAAGGCTACTATAAGCATAATAAAGCTCTGCTGCATTTGTACTTGTAAGGCTACTATAAGCATAATAGAGCTCTGCTGCATTTCTACTTGTATTGTTTGTTCATATAATTTGACGGCGCATCTTCAATTGTTCTGATATGATGCACACATGTCTACACCTGGAAACCAAGTAATTCTGCTATTATTTCCTTTGATGGATGAGAATGGGATTTTACGTGGTAACTTGGCGTGGGTGACTCGAAGAGCTCCGCTCTACTAGGCTTGTGGATTGAACCTTAGAGTCTGTTAAGTCATGTAACATGCATATATATATATATATATTTTTGATGAAGTTAACGGTTGTAGTCTGTTAAGTCATGCAACATGCATTATTTTTTTTTTTTTTGATGAAGTTAACGGTTGTATTAAAGAAAAGAAAGGGGAGAACAGAGGACCTTCGAGGTGACCCACAGGCCGAGTCCCTCGACAAAAAATGGGCTACCCTACAAAAGGGCCCTGTACAAAATATATATGGGGCTGTTTAAATTTCCCATTGCAAAATGTACAAAAAATGGCAAGGCTGGGGACCACAAGGTCGCATAACATGTTCTAGTCTCCATATTCTATGGTCTTTGAAATTGCGCCCTCTTTTGCCCTCTGCAAGGAAGTGAGAGGTCCTCCAAATGTGTGACCATGAGACAACTAGGTCCCTGCGAAGGTGCCTAATCTCATCGAAAACAGAGGCGAGGTACCAACGTGGGACTGCATGGCCAGCTGCCCAAGAGATTGCATTTAAAGCGACACCTTCTATGATGAGGGAGTGACCCCAAAAGTGATTGAACAGTTTGAGTCCAGTAAGAAGGGATTCAGAGGATTGGGAGTCTGCGTGACCTATGTCTCAGAGAAAGATGCGAGAGTATTGCCAAGGTGAACTCTAAAGATCCCCCCCACTCCTGTTGGTCTAGGGTTGCCGAGAGAGTAACCGTCAAAGTTGAATTTTACTATGCCCTCTGGAGGTGGGACCCAATTTGAAGCGCAAGAGGGCCGAGGAGGCCGACGAAGGATTAAGCTTTTCCAGTTAGGCAGGAAGGTCGATGCCGAGACTCCATGAAATTCCTTGCAGTGGGAGGCCCAGAAGATGACCTGGGAAATGATCTTATGGAAGAGGGCTGAATTCTCGCTCTTGGTGCCTCCTCTGAAAATACGAGAGAGAATTTCTCTCAGTCCATAAAGCCCTAATGGTTTCTGCAATCGATACCCTCCATAAGATTCTCCCGGCTTTGGGCCAAGGGGTGTCCACTGAAAGTTTGAACAGGTCAGGGATGGAGGCTGGGGTCACCCAGGTCAAGCCGAAAAGTAGCAGGATCCTGCCCCAAAGTTCGAAAGCGAAGTTACAGTGGATGAACAGGTGAGTGTTAGACTCTTCTTCGCAGAGGCACATAGCACATTGATTAGGGATTGGAATACCTCTGCACTGCAGATGGTCGACAGTGAGGGCCTTTTGGGAGCCCGCTATCCAATTAAAAGCCTGAATTTTAGGGGGGGCATTAGAAGTCCACACTTTTGAAATCACAGAGGGTGGGTAGTGAGGGAAGGTGGGAGATTCCAGCAGTTTCTTGTAAAAGGAAGAGACTGTAAGAAGGCCGGAGGGAGAGGGGGTCCAGACGAGATTGTCAGGGCCAGAGATGGTAAGAAAGGAGGAGTGCAAGATAGAAAACAGGAAGAGAAACTCCTCAAATTCTACCTCAGGTAAAGACCGTCTGAATGATGGGTTCCAAACCCTTTTGTTGCCTGAGAGTAACATCTCATCGGCAACCGAGGAGGAAACGTTGGTGGCAAGGTTGAACAGAGAGAGGAAGCGCTCCTTAAAGGGTGTGTGACCCAACCGCATGTCAGACTAGAAGCGGACTCTGTGTCCTTCCCTAGGGTGGAATCTGATAAACCTTGTAAAGCTGGAAGGGAGGAGAGGAAGAACTTCCAAGCCCCTGAAGGTCTGCTTGTGGCACCACTTACTGGGAGCTAGGGTTCGAATGGGATCCTGTACTTCATCGCACCACTTCTGTCCACAACAAGTTATTTTGGATTGCCAAACGCCACCACCACTTTCCGAGCAGGGCTGAATTTTGTTTTCGGAGGTTGTGATATCCAGCCCACCAATGTGTTTGGGTTGACACACTTTGTCCCAAGCAAAGAGGTGGAATTTCTTTGATTCTGCTTCCCCAGACCACAAAAAGTTCCTCATGAGCTGTTCTAGCCAACTAGCTACAGTCGCTGGCACATGAAAAAGGGCCATGTTGTACACTGGAGTATTAGCCAGAGTGGCTTTAATGAGAATATTTCTTCCTGCGAAGGACAGGTATCAACCTTCCAGCCTGCCAGGCGACAGTCTACTTTGTCTATGATGTGGGACCATTGCCTCGTTTTGGGTTTCCCTAACCCCAGTGGCATTCCCAGGTAAGATGTGGGCTGGTCATCTATTTTACACTCCCATTCAGGGATTAGGGCTCTAGTTTGAGATTGGGAAAGAGCCACCCCTATCATGGTTGATTTCTCCATATTGACTTTGAACCTTGTGGCAAATTCAAAACATTTGAGGAAAAGGTGGAGGTACTCAATTTCAGTAGGGGCAGCATCTATAAAAACCAACGTATCGTCGGCGTATTGGAGGTGAGAGACCACAGGGCCTCTAGCGCTACTTTTGAACCCGGAAAGAAGACCAGCCTGATACACTTTAGAAATGGACTGACTGAAGATTTCACCTGAAATTGCAAACTGGAAAGGGCACAGGGGTTCCCCTTGGCGGAGGCCCCTAGAGGAGGGAAAGAAGCCTTTAGGGACTCCATTGATGAGGACTGAAAGGAAGCGGTTAGAGTAGCACCCCCTCATCCAATTCCTCCAGCCCCCAAGCTCATTCTAGTCATTGTTTCATCCAGTAAATACCAATCTACGTGGTCGTAGGCCTTTTCCAAGTCTATCTTGAAGATGAGACATGGTTTTTTGGCTAGGTGTCTGGAGTGACGGCATTCATGCGCCACTAGGACTCCGTCCAAGATCTGCCTCCCTTTGATGAAGTCGCTCTGGGAGCGAGAGATCACAAGAGGTAGGACCTCTTTGAATCTGGAAGCTAGCAGTTTAGAGAGAATCCTGTAGGTTGAATTGATCAGACTTATCTGTCGAAAATCCTTCAATTCTTTAGTGCCCTCTTTTTTGGGGACAAGGGCCTGATGAAGGTTGCATTCATCACTTTGTAAAGGATACCTCTGTGGTAGAATTTGTTCATAAAGTTGAGGAAGTCTGGTTGGAAGGTTTCCCAAAAGACTAAAAAGGGGGCTACCGGAAACTTGTCGGGGCCGGGAGCTTTGTCTTTCCTGAGCTCCTTGATGGAGGCCAGGATTTTAGATTCCGTGAACGGCCTTTCCAGCGACCAGGTCCAATGGTCTGAAATGGAAAGGAACTGGATATCCCCCATTCTAGGCTTGGGGGTGAGGGGTGCCTTGTAGAGATTCTGAAAAAAGGAGAGGATGGCCAATTCGATGTCCTGTGGTTGATCTAATACCCTATTTGCTACCTTGATGGTAGAAATTGAGTCGTCCCTTCTACGGCAATTGGTCATCTTGTGAAAAAACCCTGTATTACAATCCCCAGCTTGTAGCCATTTGACCTTGGACCTCTGGTACTAGTGGATCTCCTCTTTCTTAAGGGTAAAGAAGTATTCCAGTTTAAGTTGCAATTGTGAGTCAGAGAGAGATAGAGGTTGGGATTCTTCGGCAAGATCAAGGGCGTAGATAGCTTGTAGGTGGTTCTGTTTGGTTTGTGAGAAGTTCTCAGGGAGGGTTTTGCTCCAAACTTTAAGAGAAGCCTTTAGCAGTTGAACTTTGGTTTGTAGCATGTAGCATGCCCTCCCGGCGACCACAGAGGCAAAAGGCACCCGCCAACCAGGGATTAGAGAGGAAAGGGAACCTTCTTCAAGCCACAAGAGTTCAAAACGGAAGGTCTCAGACCACTCGTCACTGTTTGTGTGTCTAGGATGATCGAGCAATGGTCAGAGGTAGGTTTCGGTAAGGTTGAGGCATGGGATCCAGGGAAAGCCTCATCCCATTCTAGTGAGAAGAGAAATCTGTCCAGATTAGATAATGTGGGTAGACTAGAGTGGTCAGACTAGGTGTACAGGTTACCTTGTAGAGGGATATCCATGAGCTCATTGCAAGCAACGAAGTCCGAGAAGTCCCTCATTACTTGAGAGATGTTGGGGTTGGAGTTTCTCTCATGGGACCACCTCGTGATGTTGAAGTCCCCTTCAAGGCACCAAGAGGGGTGGGGAGGGATGCAACAAGGTCCAGTTCTTGCCAGAGATAGGGTCGCCGGGCACTTGAATTGGGCTCGTAAATGGTAGTAAACTTCCAGGGGAAGCCGTCTGAACATCTTGTTAAGAGGATCGTGACAGAAAATTCCCCAATATGGGAACTACCGATGGTGTGTTCCGAAGGGTTCTAGTTCCCAAATTCCCCCGAAAGCACCGGTTGCCAATAGTGATACCCAATGACATTTTCTGCCACCCCAAACCTGACAAACAAGCTGCAAAGTGGGATCAGATTGCTTGGTTTCGGT